GTGGTCAGTCCTCACAAAATACACTGCCATTTGTTCTGGAATATTTTTTGCTTGTAAACAGTGCTTGATCCGTGCATATTTCTCTCCTTATTCAGGCAAGATTTTTCACTGACTTTTTCAGTGAAGAAAGCAATACTATGTATAGAGGACACATATTTTAGCCAGAAGCAATGGTTTGATGTTAATGATGGTTTTCTTTCATACAAACACATAGCTAGAGTTGTGTGGATTACTTGTGGATTATTGTGATGTTTTTCTATAAAAGCCAGTTGTATTTTAGGGTCAAAAGTGAAGTGTGTAATTTCTGTGGCAGCTGCATCTCAGAATGAAATGTTGAACATTCAATTTTAATACAAGGAAGAATTTCAACAATGAATTCACATTAAAGTCAGGGTTTAGTTTAAGGTTACTCTATAATAATAATAGTTGGCTTTATTTAGGAACAACAGAAGTCTATGGGCCAAACTGTGATGGTGGTGAGGAAAACATGCGTGTTGGCCTGCTGTACCTTTTTCATTATTATTATCATCATCATCATCATCATCATCATTATTATTATTATTTATTTATTTATTTAAATTCCTAGTTAAAACAAGGGTAGGCTAATGACAGGTAGTGTAATTGAACCTTTAAATCCTGCTCTAACTCCTCAAGGCTCTCTCTGATCCTCTTACACATCTTGCCATCTTAAACATGAGTCACACAGCAGAAATCAGCTTATTGCTTCACACACACACACACACACACAAACACACACACACACACACACACACACACACATACAACGACTCTCTATGGCCCTCCTACGCATACAAGTGAACCCTACCACTATTACACCATTAATAAAACGTACCATTGTGTTACCAGTTTTTCTTTCTTTTAGACATTTGCCATGGTAACACCTTGGTACTCTTAACCAAGCGCTCTCCAGCAAAGCTCTAGCTCCTGGTCTGAACCCCATGGGGTTTGTGTCAGGTTTAGGTTTCTCAGATTCTTATTTCAGATAAGAAATTTGAGGATGGTAAGATGTTTTATGCTCACCAAGGCTGCATGAATGTATTCAAAAAAATAAAATTAATATTGTGAATTGTTTTTACAATTTAAAATAACTGTTATCTATTTGAATATATTTTAAAGTGTAATTTATGTAATGTCAAAGCTACATTTTCAGCATCATTACTCCAGTCTTCAGTGTCACACGATCCTTCAGAAAATATTCTAATATGTTGATTTTCTGCTTAAGAAACATTTATGCTTCTTCTTCTTCTTCTTCTTCTTCTTCTTCTTCTTAATAATAATAATAATAATAATAATAATAACATCATCATCATAATCATCAATGTTGAAAACAGTTGTACTGCTTAACATTTTTGTGGATTTAAAAAAAAAACAATTCAAGATTTTTTGGATAAATAGGAAGCTCGAAAAAAAAAATTTATAAATATTAACATCATCATCATAATCATCAATGTTGAAAACAGTTGTACTGCTTAACATTTTTGTGGATTTAAAAAAAAAAACAATTCAAGATTTTTTGGATAAATAGGAAGCTCGAAAAAAAAAATTTATAAATATTTTGCAACATTGAAAAAGACTTCATTGTCACTTTTGTTTAATAAAAGTATTAATTTAAATAATAATAATAATAATCTTACTAACCCAAACTTTTGAATGGCAACAATAATTATAATATGTATTAAACTTGAATGATTAAAATGTTATAAAAATTTTAACAAATCTGAATTATTATTTAATTTATTATGAATTATTGATTTAATTAATACATAAAATATATTTATAATAATTATTATTAATTTAACTATTACAATACATTTAAATCATACAAATTTAGATCTGCCCCTCAATCTCTCAATGATGTCTATGATAATTGAGATTTTCATTGAATAACACTATACATTTTGGTCTTTTGCTTATATAATGGTTTCAAATGCATCCAGGAGTTCTGATTATAGTGCACACATAATATATATATATATATATATATATACAGGTATATTATGATGTTTTTCTTTTTAATCTTTTTGAGCTTGATGCCACTAGTCAACATTCACTTCAATTACATTGTAAAATGAAGCCTTTTAAGCAGCCATCCTTTATTCCACATAACATCATTTACATTTACATTTACATTTATTCATTTGGCAGAGGCTTTTATCCCATGCGACTTACAGTTGAGGAATACAACAAGCGATGTAGCGATGCAATTATAGTCTATTACGTTTATCAAGATAAACCAGAGGGTTAGCTTTGTTCATGTTAAAGCAGATCATTTGAATTTTTTACCTCGACTGATGTGCTGGGTAATCTTTAAGCAAAGAGTGTAAGAGTCAGTTTGCTAGAGCTGGAAGTGTGACCTTCTGTTAATCCATTAAAGTGACTGCTTAATCAATTAAGCTGGAAGTCACGGTCAGCAACAACACAACAGATAGAGGAGAAAACAACAAACGCACTGGCCTGGAATCGCACAAACACACACGCCGCCAACATCCCTATGGATGTTTTCCCACAATGCCCCATATTGTCAGATGACCACTCACACGTCCACATCTGTGACAAGAGAGAGGGGAATCCAAGCATGTAATCAATCGATACTTGCTGGAAACCTCTAGACCCCTTATACTGATATACATTGACACAGCGGCTAAAGCGGATCAATGAGCGCTCCAGTGTGAAGGGCAGGGAGATGCACACCTCCATTGAGAAAGATGAACTGAGCAAAGAGAGAAAGAGAGAGACTCTAGTCACTGATTTCATCTGACTTGGCCAGTGTAAGCAGCACCTATTGATTTTCCAATCAACTACAAGGCCAGGGTTCACACAAACGTACACAAACACTCCGCCACTTGAGCTAGGAAGTCCGCTACTCAAGAAAACTGCTACCTTGTTTGAACGCACACACAAAGCGCTCTTGGCAGAATCATTTTGCTGCCTTTAGAGGGAATTTGATAAAGTGGAAAAGCATTTGTCCACTACCAGACTGGATTTATCACACAAACATACACACATATAGAGGGTGGGAGTTATTGGGGTGGTCTGAACAACCTAATTAAGTGTTGAATCCCCTAAAAGGAAGAACTTTTCATGCTACATAATTACCAAATATTGGATTCAATATTTTTTAGCAACTTGTTGTCTTTCAGTAAGCACAGGTTTTGTATTTATTTTTGGAACTACACTCTTAAAAATAAAGGTGCTTCAAAAGGTTCTTCAAGCGATGCCATAGAAGAACCATTTTGGTTCCACAAAGAACCATTCAGTCAAAGGTTCTTTAAAGAACCATCTCTTTCTTACCTTTTTGTAATCTGAAGAACCTTCTGTCACCACAAAGAACCTTTTGTGAAACAGAAAGGTTCTTCAGATGTCAAAGGTTCTTTATGGAACCATTTAGACAAAAATATTCTTCTATGGCATCGTGAATCTGAACTTATGCACCTCAGTTTCTGAGTAAACATTGCCATAACACAAATAATGCTTATTTTTCATTTAAAAATGAGATATATAAGTTCAGATAAACGATGCCCACAAAACCTGTGCTAATTAAAAGAAAACAAGTAGACAAACATTTAAATTAAAACAAAAACTGAAAAATACAAAAAAATTAAATTCAAAATATGAATACATACTATAATGGTACATACATTATACAAAATAACACAACATTAGAGGCAGAAATCCTAAAAATATCTAACAATTAGATATGTTACATAAACTGTCCTCGGACATAAAACCTAGCATGAAAAGTAGTTAGTTTTTAAGTTACTGTAAGATCAAACTGTTTTTCCCCCATGTAATTTATGTGAAATATGTTTGTCAGTAACTACGAACCAACATCTGGTCCCAATCTAGTAAGACATACTGAGGCATAGCTTAAAGTAGGCTGAATTTGCAACCATGTTAGTCATTCTCACCCAAACGTCCATGGACATTACTCCCATGGAAATCTTTGTGCTGCACGCATACCATGTTAGATTATATTGGAAATGAGTGAGAATCATCCGTGCTGACAGGGCATTACGTGTCTTGATTCAGCTCCATTTTATTGAATTGTCCTATTGTTTTGGTTTCCACTCCATCCAGACACAATGGGAGATATTGAGGCCAAAATGAATTAGGACTGATTAACAGAGTTCCTCAAGACCATATTGAGAATATTAGTGTAAGGCTAAAATCAAAAAGAGGGGCTTTCATTTTCATTTTAACACCTCAGATGAATGTTCAATGAAAAAACACAAATGTAAACTTTAATTGTAAAGTCCAAAATCTATTTCAGAGATTAGGCCTACTTATTTTAGCAAAGTATTTGTTTTCACCTGAGCGATGAACTACCAATATACTGATATACGAATGCATGAATCTACATTCTCATTTCAACACATTCCATGTATACTGTCTATATTGTAATCGTCAATTTTTTTACACACAAACTTCCTTATGCAGCCAGTGAGAGGGTCGCCAACATGTCAAGCTTAAAATTCTACAAAATAAAATATATTTAGATTATACAATCATTATAATTTACAAAGTATTATTTTGAGAGAAAAAAGCTGCTGTGCAACTTGCGAAACTGCCAAGTGAAATGCACAATCCACAGAACAGCGCAAAGCGGATCAATTTATTTCAGAGTTTCTGCAACCTTTGAATTGCAGGCTTTCCATACAGCTTCTAACCATATGGAATTTGGCATTTTTAGAATCGCCTGTGCTGAATTGTGCAGAATAGATTTAAATATGATAAAATATTTAACAATGTTTACGTATGCCTAAGGTTGCTGGCCGGATCCTATTTTGGACTCCCGAATGACACCCGTTGTTTTCCACACTTTGAAACCAGAATGACATTCCCATAAACTGTAAACTGCAGGTGCAATAAGGCTTCCTTTACTTATTTAGGATCTACTGCACATCCAAAATGTATGAAAACATAACAGATTTCAAATCTGTGGTTACTTTAACAGCCCAACCATGTGAGGTATGTCTTACCTGGGACGATGGAGACGGTGTCCTTTTCCCAGGACACCACACTGACGTACTCCTGCACAGCAGAGGGGATGAGGCACTTGAAGACGGCCACGTTGCCCCGCATGGACCTTTGGTCCGCCACACGAACCGTGTAAGGTTCCCTGAACACTGTTCAAGATGAGCCAGAAGAAAAACAGAGGTTGAAATTAATTAATTAATTATTAAATTATTTTAATTATTTTAATCTAAATTTTGAATCTGAAATTATACATAATTTTTTTTTACAGATTTTATTTTAATATATCAAACATCAGTATCAAATGCTATATTAATGGCAAACCCAATAGTAATACATTTAAAATAATTATAATAAGAATAGTAATTCAGTCAATTGTACACAATAATTTAAACTAAATAAAGAAAGACACAACAATAACAGCAACATTAATAATTATATAAAATCTACCAATTTAATATTTGAGAAAAATATATATAGTATTTTCCCAAAAGAGTGCCCTTTTTTTGTGCATTCAAAAAGACCTGATCTGGGACCAATGCATGAATTTTATTAAACATACAGTATATTACTAGATTCTGAGACGGAGACTGAATCTTTTTTTGTCAAGAGGTGTTTAAGTGTTCAGGAAGTCGCCTTTTTAAAAATCACCCGGGCAATGCATGCAGATGGCGATGAGTGGACGCCGCCACACAGCCTCTGGAGCTGTCAGAAACATTTGCCCCCGCTAAAGGGACCCTCTCTGCACCTGACAACCGGAACCTGGACGAAAAAATCAATAGACGAAAAGAACACACAAACCGAGCAGTGTACGAAGGTGTTATTTACGGGCAAGGAGATCCTCCTACGGTAAAGGGCGACAAGGGAGCGTGAGCAGATTAAAGTAGGCGCTGAATTTCATTTTAATTTCAGGGACTCAATTTGCTTTGTGTCTTTCATCAACATCTATTTACTTATGGATTTTAATTTCTCCCTCATATCTTTGGGGAAGTAACGCAAGACGCAGAGCAAGGGCATCTCATTCACGAACATGATGCCGCAAATTTGATCACACAGTCGGGGGATGTTTTCAGAGAACTCTGTGGGTATTGCAATTGGATTCACGGTCAATTCAACTACGCAGCTTTTTCACCCCATCAGAAAAGAGACCGATCATAAGAATTCATGAAACGTGGCAATTACCCACAACCACGCTCCTCACCCCCTCATGTCTCACTTTCACTTGCTACCTCTATTTCTATATATAATTAACGCCTGGCTTGCGGGTGAATTTCCTTGGTCATTAATAACGGTTTCTGTCAGGTGCCAGAGTGTCACCCACAGCGAGGCGAATCAGTGTCCTTGTCTGATGGTTAAGTCATGAATCGTTGAGTCCAGTCATTATATTTCTTTATTTCTTTCTACATATTTAAATGGTTTATACAAATATGCAAATGAAATATGTTTAAGTAAGTTAAAACAGGCTGTGTATATTTGCCCACTGTTAACTAACCAACTTCTTACTGATGCAGATGAGATTTGAATCAATAGAACAAATCAATAGAACTCCCTATTACACTCAGTACTCCATAGTCTACAAATAATCATTTATTCAGTCATTGATTGACTGCGAGGCTTGGGCCTTATTGAGTTTCTATAACTCAAACAGGCCCTCTATTAGCTAGTTTTATTTTCACCTCGACTCGGATTGTGCTACACCTGGTTGTGGAATGTTGTTTTACAGCGGTGGGAAGAGCGTAAACAAGCCAAAACATCTCTAAGGCTTCAATAATGCATGTGTAAAATTCACAGACGGATTTGCCGACAACAATAGCAGATAGCATTTTTTATGGGCAAATGACTCTCCGTCTTCATGTGCGGCATCATTAGAATGTTACTGATGCCTGACTATGCTCATCGGTTGCTTGGAAACGGACTGGCACACGGGCTGGTGCTCTCTTTCTCCTTTTGCACACACCAGGAGGACTGAGTCCTGTATCACCATCGTTTATATAATTAACTGGAGAGAAACCAAATACTGTATTTACTTATTCATGATGCAAGACGTTTAAAAAAGGGGAAAAGAACCACACTGAATAAGAATGAGGCGGTGAAAGGTGCTCATTAATGTAATGGTGAAAAAAAAAAATTACATGACCTATCAGGAGGGAAGAAGCCAAAGAAACAAAGGGCTGAAAGAAAGGAAGAGTGAGTCTGTCACAGTACACCTGTCAGGCTCGTCGCACGAGGTCTGTGTTTAACCCTCAAGCTGACTTTAGATAAACCCAGTACAGGCTGAAGGACACTCTCCATTAAAAATGCTACTATTTAAGATTAAAGAGGTGATATAGTTAATATAGCATAGCTTCTACTAGGCAATTTTCTACATTTAACTCACAGCTCTGTTCATCTTAATACTCCTGTCAATGACCTGCTTCCCACTACACTCAATCAAAGGATCCCACCCAACCCGCCAAACTCTGTCAACACAAAGGAAGTCTAGGTCAGAATAGCTAGGTTCATACACTGACATAGAAAAGACAGGCAGACAGATAGACAGACAGATAGACAGACAGATAGATAGATAGATAGATAGATAGATAGATAGATAGATAGATAGATAGATAGACAGACAGACAGACAGACAGACAGACAGACAGATGGACGGACAAAAAGATGGAGAAACAGATGGAAAAAAATACCCAGGTAAACAGATAGACAGATACATAGATAAACATATAGATAGACAGACAGACGAACAGACAGATGAAGAGACAGAGGAGAGAAAGGGCCATGTAGAGAGACGGACAGATAGACAGGAAGAAAAACAGATAGACAGACAGACAGACAGATAGATAGACAGATAGATAGATAGATAGATAGATAGATAGATAGATAGATAGATAGATAGAAGCCTGTCTTTAATATACAGGAAAATAGGGACACAAACAATTGACATCCTAAGAGCAAGACACTGTAAAAGGCTAAATGAAAAATGAACAGCGAGTGCAAGGAGGAACACACACACACTCATATGGAGCCCTCATAGGGAGATTTTCATAAATGTAGAGCTATCCACACAGGTGCCCATGCTATTATTGGCACAGGATCAGCATGCAGGAGAGTGGGTGAGAAAAGAGGAGGGAGAGAAAGAGAGAGAGACATGCATGGGGGATGGTGTCATACAGTGAGTTGTCAGCTGTCATCATTCTCCAGTGCCACCTGAGACATTCAGCGCCACACCCGGCCCCTCCCCTCACCGTACCCATGGTTACCCTCAGTGCCAGGATCTGACTGGCTGGTGAGGGAGCCCTAGTGTTGGGTTCCTTAGGGCTCTGTGTGGGTTGCTAGGTCCACTTGCAGTTTTGCTGCATCTCAGCACTTAATTGATTAATTAGTGTAATTATTTGAGGCGAAAGTCACCCCCATCTTGTCGCCGGTTGGTAGGTAATTCATTCCATCCTCTGAGACTTTAATGTTAATGCAGGTAAGGTGGAAAAAGTAGCATGTACCGAACTCGCCTGGTTACATTTGAAGAATCGTTCAAGCTGATGTTATTTATTAAGGTGTTGCTCGATGGGGTTATTTATGGGGTTATTACAGAACGACCAAATTTTGCTATAAGTTTGATTGCATCATATAATAATTGCTAATAATTAATAGTGTTCATCGTCTGTTTGATTATGTATTTAATTGATAAGCCACTGATAAGCTGATAAGCTACCACTAAATATTGTAGAAACTTAATTTGCTGTAACGTTTCTTTGCAACGATTTGTATTGTGAAAAGCGCTATACAAATGAACTTGAATTGAATTGATTTGAATTATTTCTGGTAAATTCAATGTAGGTGAATGTGTACGTGTGTGTGCGTGTGCGTGTGTGTGTGTGAGATGGGAACTCTAGCTTAGAGGACAGATGGAGACTGGGAGACAGGAGGGACACTGGCACTGCACAGCCTGGCATAAGAGTGAGTGTGCGAGTGTAAGGAGGTGTATGGATAGCCCTCGCTGTTGCTGGGCGGCCAGCCCCACTCACGAGCGGTGACCTTGGCACTGAGTGGGAGGGTCAGTCAGCCAACTGTCTGTATCGCCGTGTGCCCGTCTGTGCGCTGCTTTTTAAAGCAGTCAGGTCAACAGGCCGGCCATTGGGACATCCATTTGGCACTTACATTCTTATTTAGGTTAGCAATATGCCGGCCGCTACTTCTGCTGTTACTGCAGATGTTAAGTTAAGAACTCATGTTCCACCTGTAATGTCACGTGCCCCCTCTCTGCCACAGCACCTACGTTGACTATGCTCTTTTCTAAGCACAATATAATGTGTAAAGAAATATTGACGGAAACTAAGCCATTGCAGTCTTACATGGCACAAGTGTGCGCATTATAGTAAGGATATAGACTGGATCCAAAATTAACATGTTAAAGGCCAATTAAAATTTTATAATGTTCTGCAATGTAATACAAGTTAAAATGTAACAGAGATAAACAACTTTTCACAGATATAAGTGTTAAGAATGATTTTGAAGAAAATGTAAAATCAGAAATGAAATAAATCCATATGACGTCATGTGGAGTATTGCTCTTTTTACACTATCAAACTGTAAGGAACATCAAAATATAATGAATAAAATCACGACGTGGCTTCACCGTTTTTTTTTTTTCTTGGGAAATCGAGACTGGCTCATGAATGATGTATAATCATATGTCATACCAAAAAGACCAGCACTGTCATGGGCTGTTCCTTGTGAGACTAAATCCAGCAACCAGCAACAGCAAGTGGTTGCCAACCCTGACCTTTACTCACTGCACTTTAACATCATATAAATACAGTAAATAGGTGGATAGACAGACAGATAGATAGATGGATGGAATCAGGTCTCACCTGCTTTGACACGGATGCTAGGGCTGCGGATCTTGCCGGCCTGGTTCTCGGCAGTGCAGAAGTAGTCATTATCATGAATGAAGCTGTTGAAGGCAGAGGGGGAGAAGGGGTAGAGCTGCAGCGTGCCATTGGCGTGAACATGGCGGATGTGTGGCACGTCGTAGATGTCGTCGCCGGTGGCCAGGTACCAGCGGAGGACGGCATGGGGGGCGCCACCCGCAGGACAGGGCAGGGACACCCCCACTGAGCTGGAGAAGGTCACTCTTTGCAGGGAAGCATTCACAAAGTACAGCCGCGTCGAGACCACATCCTCGCTGTGCACTGGAAGAGAGACAACATGGTCAGTCGCGAAGTGACCAAAGAGTTTTATTCTTCAAATAACACACCTGGACAGGTAAAGGGGCCAATGCATACTTGTTCCTTTGGGTTTCTGTACTTTGAAATCATAAAAGAAGCACTGAGTGTCATTCTGGCAAACTTCCACCTCACATTCACGTCTGGTAAAGTGTACGCCATGCTCTGATTGGATTATCCCAGAGACATTCCCACTGGGTCAGCACAACTCAATTCAAATTTAGAAATCAATCACTTGTTTGCGAAGATGATGTAACTACAAATTGTCTTTTATCTTATTATTTGTCTGTCATTTTCCAAGTGCACAATCTACATGGAAAAGCTAAGGTCAGCTTGTCACTACTGTAGCTAGTCACAACAGTTTCCCAAAGCTGCACATACTTTGTCACACATTCGGCATTCTGAACAAGTTGGTTCGACAACTGGCGTTACTACTGATACTTAACTACCCCAGGTTGATGCATCATAGGATAAATTAACTACTCTAGTTAGTCATAACTGTTTCCCAAAGTTGCAGATACTTTGTCGCATGTCCATCGTTTGGAAAAAGTTGGTTCAACATATTTGTATTTTGCCACAACTCTGTCATTTGAACTACACTGGTTCAACATATTTAATGTTGACGTTACAACTGACATCATGACTGATACTTAACTATCACAGTATGATACATCATTGGAGAAATTAACTACTGTAGCTAGTCATAACTGTTTCCCAAAGCCACAGTTACTTTGTCGCACGTTTGTTGTTTGGAACAAGCTGGTTCGAACTTTTGATATTTGAACTTTGTCACACATCTGTTGTTCGAACCACATTGGTTCATAATATTTGTCACAGTTTGCGTCAAACAGGTGGTAGAGTAATAACTTGTGCTAATTAATCGGTGCAAGAATGAAATAATAGCTGTATCATTTCGAAGGCTGCGCCCTCTAGAGGTTGCATTTGTTGGCTGCATTGTTAGCCAACTATGGTTGCAAGTTCTGTCATTAGCACATTCGCACTCTTGAAAAACTGTGTTGACATTCTTTTGATAAACTTAAAGATGTAGAATATACCACAGGTTGAGAGCTGTTGTTCCAACCAGACAATTCTTTGATAATGTTTGCGAATGTTAATTGGAACTATGGTTTCAGAAAACACCAAATCATTGAACTATGTTGCTAACAATGGAACTTGCAACCATAGTTGGCTAAGGATGCTTTTGTGAAGAATACCCAAGATTCTTAATCATCTTAGTCAGGTTAGACGCCATACTAAATTTAATGCGGATATAAACCAGGCTGCGAAGGAAAGAACTTGCAATCTTTGCAATGGCACACACTGTATAAAAGTCCTCACAAGTTTTTTTTTTTTTTCTTCTCTCTTTCGTCAGCTGAGCAATCTATATGTTTTAAACAGCAGTACATTCCATTTAATGCAGTGTACTTCTAGCCCTCACAGTCTCGTTTCCATTCGTGTCAAAAATGTAATATGTCGCTACCCTGACTAAGGTATATAGAATGTTAAAATTACTCCTTGTAAAACAGAAAATTCTGCAATTTCCACAAAAGCAAACAAAGAAGTAAATGAACAAAGCCAGATGCAGGAATCAGCAAGGCTTCCAAACAAAAGCCAACTTTGTCCACAGCGAGAGTGGATCTTTACTCGCCATTCACATCTTTTTATATGTATTTTCTTGGCAGATGCTTATAAATCTCTCGATAACAGCACAGTTGTAGGGCAGGCATTAAAGAATATCACTAATCTAATATGTGTGCGGTGTGAGCCGTGCTGAATGCTGCCATCTGATAGGAGAATAAATAGGTCATAGAACCCCCGCTATGTATCTACAAACATCTCTGACAGCTAATGTGGATCAGACAATCATTCCCTCTTGGTGTATTACCAAATCCAGACTACTGTGAGAAAAGGAAAAAGAAAGTGGTGGTTTGCGTAAATTAATACACATGCTAATTCAGCAGCATATCTAATGATGTCCTTCAAAGGCAGCGTTTTAGCGATTTACCATTCTGGCATCTCTATTATCTGCAGGCTCTATTACGGATTACATGGTTTGGGTGTGATGACTCTGTATCTTTTTTGTATTCAGAGAATTGCTTAGCTCAGCTCTGGCTCCGAGCCAAGGGAGACACAAGCCCAAAGCAAGAGAATTTTCTTCCAAGGCAATTACATTTAATTAATGCCCCCCACCTGGTTTATGTCAACAATGCCTGGATTAACCCCCATTCTTGTGATTCTCATTGTGTTCGAAAAAATAATGGTGACATGCTACCATGGCATTAAAGTCAGTGGGGTACCTATAAACTTCCAAATACTGATGGACAGCATCGCAATGTATACGCATAAATATGAATTGGAATTTATACCCAATAACATTGAATACTAAAGGAACAGTTCATCCAAAAATGAAAATGCTGCTCGTTTTAAAGCAATGAAAGTCCCCATTCACTTTCATTGTAAGGAAAAAAGCAGCTTGGACATTCTATATAATAACTTATTTTGTGCGCCATGCAAAACAGTAATTTAAATGGGTTTTGAAAGACACAGGATGTGTGTACGTGATGATATTCTATTAATTTAATGATAATAATACTGTTATTCTTACTCTTGACAGTTATAGGCTACTCAATTTAAAGGCTTACAAAGGACAATAATAATATTTATTTTAATGGAAAAAAATCATGCAAAATGTAAAACATAAATACATGTGAAACATAGAATGAAAAACAAGAAAACAGTGATGCTAGAAAATTGAAAGGCTGAGATTAGAGCTAAAGCTTTTACTGGTAAGGTGGGGGTTTGTATTCTTTCTCTCTCCATCCATCACTCTCTCTCCCTCTCTTTTTATATTCCCATAGAACATGAACACGGATATGTTATGTGATTGGAATTGGTACACCAGACGCAGAGAGTTAAATCCATATAATCTCCTTTCACATTTAACACACACAGAGCCTTCCTGGCCTGATAATCGCAGCACGGTGGAGGGCCTTTATTGCTTCCCCTCTCACTCTGCCCTGTGGGGAGGGCAGATTATGGAGGTGGGTGCGTGCCAGGGGGCAAGGGTCCAGACAGGACCAGGTCTAGAGTGTGCAGAGTGGTAGGTTAGATGGGGGGCTGAAGTGAATGGATGTGCCATCAGGAGTCACAGGTTGCAAGCAAATGAAATAAAATCCTTTTCATTGTTCACACTTTGCATGAAAGCCTGGATTACATTAGAACAAGGTCTGGACTGGCATTTCTCTACCTTTGTTACTCCAAAGTCCCCTACAGTCAAGGTTATTGTTTAAAAGACTGCCTACATAACTGTGAAGTTTCCATTTCTTCTGCAACATTTTTAATAACAAATATTAGGGCAGTTAATACATTTAAATAATTGAAATTATGTGATAATGTCAGAATTTTTAAGAATTATTTGTAGTCAGCATTAATACATTGTTCCTATTTAAAAGAAAGAAAACAAAATAAATAGCTGTCACACTGTTTGTAACTGTTTAAAGGAAACTCAGCAAGTGTAAATATATTTTAGGAGTAGAAATGCAAATGTATTAGATCCAATTGTGAACTAAATGATGTCAGGTTTTGAGAGGACAAATTCAAATGTTGTCAATTTTGCTTGTTTGTATTCTGCAATCAAATAAACAAATAAATAATCCAGTGCAAGAGCAGTGAATTTGCACTGTAGCATTTAAATTCTTAAATTATTTTATAACAATTTATAACACGTTTAATTATTTTAATCAATTAAACAATTGTTTTATTAATTTATCTTAATTGAAAGTAATTTAATTTATTTATTTTTAAGTAATTTGAGTTCTTTAGTCCCCTTGAAAGTTTACTGAGGCCCCCTACTGGGCCACGACCCCCCCCCCCCCCCCCCCCCCCCCCCCCCCCCCCCCCCCCCCCCCCCCCCCCCCCCCCCCCCCCCCCCCCCCCCCCCCCGCTATGCATAATGCAGCTCTCTCAGTCGCTCATCTGCATTTGCTTAGACACACACACTCTATCTCTCTCTCTCGCATGCACACGCATAGATCTTCACACCCTGTCCCCAAAGAAATCCACACACAATCTCTCTTTCGATCACTCTGTCTCACCTACATAAACATGTCTAAATGCATAAACATATTTTTGGGGCACGCAACTGTTCGACAACAACACAATTCAACCATCCATTTGCCTTCGAGCCTCCCAATTAATTTATTCGCAGATTGTTCAAGGGCCATTTCCGCTGTCAAGCCTGTCTATATCACGCTACAACGCCGCACATTTTTTTTTACAGCTTCCAATGTCATAATGTTTTCTTTAACCTTTTAAAATAACTCATGAGATTATGAGAGAGAGGGTCTGACTATCTTCCTCCTTTGTTTTTTATACCTTTCCTCAGACAAGCCACTTATCAAACCGTCAATCATTCATGCACGGTGCAGTCAAGGAAAAATCAATACTACAGGTGCTGAGTAACTTCCAGCTGAATCTAAAGTCAGCCCTACACTGCATCCAGTTATAAATAGGTTACGATAGCAAGCATGAGGTGTGTGTATGTATGTGTGTGCTTCAGACATTTCTTCATTGCTAGGCTGAGAAGGACACATGTACACTTGTGTTTAGATTACATTTGTTCTGGTATTTTAGAGTAAATCTTGCCTGCCACTGTTGTCCCTGTGATTGTTCAGTGCTTTGCGTGAGTGAGCTCGAGTGGATTGGAAACCAGTCACATGTAACCGCCGACAATTGTATGGCAATCTCTTTAAGAAGAGAGTGAGAGAAAAGTGGGAGAGTAGAAGAGGTATATATCTATCCTTTTGGTTACATAATTAACATTTTGCATACATCTATCTTGTTCACTTTACATAATGAATCAAATATATGGTCATGTAAGTGAGTGAGGTTGATAAACATGGTTTGAAATGCATTAGGGGTTGGATTTTGAAACGGGTGAGGGTTCTCTACCCCTTTATTTGCACGTTACTGCAGCGTCAGGGAAAAAAGGAAGAAAAAAAAAATCAGCATTTGCAGAAGTAGCTCAGACTTCAAAGGATGATTTTGGAGGTTGAGTGTCAGTTTTCTCAATGCATTTTTAAAAGAGTCAATAAAATGTGAATTTGAACAAATCTCCTGTGTTTCAGGTAGTTTATAAACGGTAGTTTAAATACTTTTAAATACCCTCGCCACTCTTTACCTCTAAGTGAGATGCAGGTATATCACAATCTGCAACAGGAGCTGCATGAATCTGAACTTCTGTGGTTCCTGTTATTAGAGCAATTGTTTTGAAACTAAACTGACAAATATGAAACCACAGAGGAATTGACTAAACTTCCTTGAAGAACGTAGCTATCAGAGATAAACATGACTATGGACGATTTACTAAATGCAATGGGGAAAATGGTGATGGTTGTAACACGAGGTAATTAAGTACCAGTTAATAATAATAAAAAAATTAAAAAATCACTTGCAGTTTGTAATTCAGACCATTTATAATCTGATCTGTCACCATGTTAATAGTTGTTAAAAAAGATAGAATATCATTCAAATCAGCAGTTTCTTGTATATGTTATATAAATCAAGTTTAATACAATATTAAACTACTTTAATTTGTAAATTAACATATATCAACATATCATACCATATCAAAGTTTTGGGCACACACACACAAACACCTGAGTGCTGCAACACACCATCGCATTAGGGCCATTAGACACAGAAAAGACGTTTACCTGAACGTTGACGCTATAGGCTAGTCCTTTCCATACACTTATAGAGAATCAGTAATTAGACTAACTATTTATGTCTTTCCTATTAGGGACGTTTTAAACAAATCAGTATTTATTTTATTAATTGATTTGATTGTTTTAACTTTTTTTGTGTGTGTGTGTGTGAATGTGCTTATGTCTGTGATATTCAGATCTATAATAAAATGATATTGACAGTTGTGTTGTTTTCCAGTGCACATTTGTTCGCAAAGGAAAGCGCAAGAGCAGCGTGCTGTTGCTATGGTTACCTCCGCAGGCTACTTCTGCTCCTGAGCGACTACATAGTGCACTAATTGTAGCAAACTTTTATGTTTATTAAAGTATAAACATATATATATATATATATATATATATATATATATAAATTCATGCTTTAAATAGGGGAGTCAAATCATCATCATTCGCGCCCTGACACTGGATGTTACATTATTCTGACTCTCTAGATCTGTTGCCTTGCGCACAGAGTCCGATTTAGATGGACAAGTGGCCCAGGCGCGTCGCGTCCGGCAGGTGCTGCGGAGGCAAAGAGTGTTTGTTCACGCGCTTAACTCACCGGCACACGGGCTCTGAAAGGAGAACAGCGGTCACCTGTCGAAGCGGAACGCGAGAGTGACACCTAGATTCTTATTTTGACCGCGCTTCGACTGGAATGGCAGCTGGAACGGCGGGGTGTGATTTTAGGTGGAGGGGGGAAAAAATAGCACGACGCATAACGCAGTAAATCTCAACGGTTACATTTGTGACGCCAAGTTTCTTCTGAGTTTGAAGGGGGTCTGAAAGAGCTGCTGATGCATTTTACACAGAGTTCAGACTGTCTAGGTTGCATATGGGTATTTTACATGTCTGGTGTAAACAGTCACAATACCAGAGCTGTTTAATTCCATAAAAGGAAACATGTAAAACATGCTATAATACACATACCTACAGCTAATATATTTATTAGGCCTACGTCTCCATTATTAAAAACCAACCATTTAAATTATTATAATCGCTGATTATAATGTATTTCCCTCTACAATATTCCCTATAAAATATTGAGAATATGACTTCTAGTCTAATTTGCTGAAACTTCCTTGACCAGTAGTGTTAATGTTTCTCGCCGGTCACAGGAATAAAACACATACTTTGTCAAACTTTTTTTTTTGTATGTTTTTTAAAAAAAAAAAAAAAAGAAGGGGGAAAAAAAGTGTTCTATTGGACTAGCCTATTAAACGAGTGAAATGATTTGGCTAGGAACAATGGGGTTCAAAAACGATCAACTCGGGACAGTCGTGAGAGGGGAAGAAACACTGATGGGACGATCCTGTTCAGTCTAAACCGTCTCATTCTCAAGTAGACGGAAAGTTCAAGTACATATTGCTACAGTTTATGAGAGGAACGTGTTTATAACTGTGACTCATGCTGCTGTCGCACAAGGCTTTACTCTTTATTTGTATAGAGGAAGTATCGTATTATAATGAGCGCAGTGTGTCTCCCGACAAAATTACACAGAAAGAAGAGAGAAACAGGTGTATATGACGAGTATAACGAAACAGAGAGATTGACAGATCCAGAGAGAGAGAGAGAGAGAGAGAGAGAGAGAGAGAGAGAGAGAGAGATAAATGGAGTCCTTATGGCCAATGACCTGATTTACTTTTGGAGTGGGGGATGCGGCAGATCTCCTTCTAATTGCGCAGCTGGGAAGAACAGGGGATTTGACGGGGGGGAGGAAACCAATTTTGCATATTTTTATGAAGGGGAGACCGGGTGGGATGGAGGTGCCCTGATGTGAAGAGCAGGTTTGACATTGCGAGCAGTTTGGAGGTGAAAACGCATGAAAGTGTGCTTCTTTTTTTAATGATCAAATATTGTTATGGTTGATGTTAGACATAAACATGTCAGTTAATAATAATAATAATAATAATAATAATAATAATATGTCTCATTATAAAAGGGTTTGACGTGTTGGACGTGGCAAGCTCCTTTCAATCACATTTTAATTTAGGCAAATGTTCCGAAAATCGGATCAGACCGCAGCCACCTCACAAATGTGACGACCTGACGACTGCTGATCCTTAAAATAAATATTGGACAGACACAGATACACACACGCGAACACACAATGCTTAAAGCCCCTTTATTCATTATTCAATATCCTATGAAGCAAATATGTCATAAATAAAATTAGTAAAGATAAACAAATATTTGTTCAAACGTTTTGTTTCATTTTCTAAACAGACTTGAAATCAATCACACTAAGTGCACACACTATCTGCATAATAACATGGGTGAATTCTTAAAATGTATATTCCATTGGGTCTGCTAAAGCCAACACAAAACCCTTCAATAAACTATGGCATTATTAATCAGTTTAATAAATAATAGACGTACCATTTGCTATTATATTTATTAATAATAATAATTATTATTATTATTATTATTATTATTATATTAATTAATTGTTATTGTTATTGTTAATTATTATTTTTAACAAATTATAACTCGCATGCAAATAACAATGGAAATTTCCACAAAAAAAATAATAAATACTGCAGCATCCCTCGGTGCCTTTTTCATTTTCATTTAGTTGAATTTCCATAAAAAGACAAGCTAACCGTCGAGAAGGCAATTTACCCTGGATCCGGTTTTCCAGATCGGGGTTCAGGTGTGAATCCATACTTGACAAAGCAATATCAGATAAAGAGCATTCCAAAACAGGCGCACACCTTTGAAAAGTGGTTTCATCCAAAAATATTTTGTAAGTTAATTTTATGGGGAAAAAAATATGAGCAAAAACTGAAAGCACAGCTCCAAGGCAGGAGGGTGAGGGAAGGAGTGGTATATGTGCTGTGAGGTGTCAAAAACAAAATTGTTGAGGAGACATCATGACAGAAATTGATGCGTAAAACTAACAGAATGAGCAAATAAATAACCTTAATTATGATTACAATAAACCACATCTTTGTTTGGCATTAATACAAATTCAGACGTGCCTTATCAAAACCACCATCAGCACAGTCAAACCAGGAATCTTTGGCATAGAAAATGGAGGACCACTAATTGCACCAGTGCTAATTGGAAATGAGGCTGCATATGCCATTATATTTTTCACAGGATCTATGCAGATATATTCATCCTCTACCACAAAAAAACATGCACTTTTATTACAAAATACATATTATTCTTTCTCCTAAAGGCATACAGCAGCATGCTACTATAAACAAATATCAGACATATTCAAATCCTAGGAAATTTACATTCTTATTCGAGCCCAGTAAAAAGTACACCAAGCGCAAAAACAAATTCCCACCTCTGACCAACTCTACTTTCCCCACCAAACAAACTACAGAAGGCCAAAAGTGTATGGAAAATGCACACGACCGATGCCAAATCTGATCCCGTTCTACACATTCATAACTCAACAGCATATTCATATCTTGCATACAAATCATGCTATCTCCTCCATCTTTGCGCACGGGCACATGCAGATCCTACATCCTCCTAATCTCCTGTTCGTCATTAATCACTGACTAGAAAAAAATAATTGTCCACATTTTAAACAACTAAAACATTTTTTCTGAAGGAAGTTGCATTAGTTTTGGAGCGAAATAAACTTCCTGAAATCCAGATATGCGAGCGCGCAATAAAATAAACTTGGAACAGTGCGATTTTACGCACGGAAATTTCCACTTAATTTAATGTAATAAATAGTGCAGTTTTATTTCAACATTATTTTAAATAATAATAAAAAAAACAGCATAAAATAAACAGACTACATACCTTCTTGAAAAGAATACAGCAGGAGTAAAGTTACCAGCCACATGCCATAAATAGCAGGTATATTTCTCAGGAATGTTTTGCAATCCCGACGTGTGCACTGTGCAGTATTTGGCCAGGCGAGGCTCCGTGCAGGAGTGGTGACGATGCTCCCCGGCGATCTCTCCAGCCCTAGTCCCGGACTCACCAGCGCCGAGAAGCGGGGAAGACTTTGGTCCCGCCTCTCGTACCCTCCCCTCCGCGGGACCGTCATCCAAGCTGCCCCTCCTTCGGTAGTCCAATGGTACGGCGAGATGGAGAGGTGCTTGGTACGGGGCCAGAGAGAGACGCGGCGAGGACGGCGCGCTGAGTTTTGTTGGTGGGGGTGGGTTGAGTGCATCAGGGAGGACAGGACTTAACATGTTGTTGTTGTTGTGAGCGGTCCACGTGGCTGGAGACAGTCGGGGCGTTCTGTGGCACTGAGTGTTACCATAGCGCACCTGGGAACTAAATAGCTGCTTTTTACGCACGGCGGATCACTTTTCGCGATGACAACGGCTTACCTTTTACCTCCAGAAATATTGTATTGATGCAATGCTGCTGAGAAAAAGAGTTTAAGCCTTGTCTGTTCTCCCAGACAGTTATATTTGCTGGTTTTAGGCACTTTTTAACAGACCAGGACGGGAACTTGAAGACTGGGAGACCACCTTAAATCTTTTAAGACCCGGGAATCATATTTAAGTTTTTTTTGTTTGTTTTGTTGTTGTTGTTTTCTTTGCCGCAGGGTTGAGCATCATTTTACATTTAAAGTTCGTGTGAACGTTGAGCGTAAAACGCTCCGCTTACGTTTCTTTTATTTCACTGCTCATTGAGTGACTCGGGTGCGTCTTTAGAGACACTACACGAGACCCTGTCACGCGCTCTTTTTACGTTCACGTATGTGAATGAAAGAGAACGCGTGCTTCAGAGGCGCACCGAGGAATGTCTGAATCGCCTGCAAAATGAGAGAGGAATGACACGTGGGGCGTATCGTGTATTGTCTCGAGTGGCGGATAACGCTCACAGACCACCCCGGCTTTATCGATCTGGTGACTATAGTGCCTTACACCACCCAAGTCTGCAAAAATAAATATTTAAATGAATAGATTGTATTAAACAGTGTAACAAATTGTAATTAGGCAGCATTATTAAACCCTTACAATTCAGATAAAGCAAATCTGTATAGCATTTGAGAGTTTTTGCATGGAAATTGGCAACCCCTTCATCTTAAAAGGAAGAAACCAGTGTGATGGATTTCTGTGGATTATTTTGACAATGATATGTAACAATGCCAGAGTACATGTCTGGGTGTAAAATTACAATATGGCACACAGCACACTACCCCCAGGGCAACTTAAGAAATGACAACAATGTGTAGAGTGATAGTCTGCTACCAATGGTTGCATTATTTGGTTTGATTGTTCTGCTCCAGCACTCTGGCTTCACACTCCCACATCCTTTTCGGGTAATTATTGAACTGTAACGTACTGTACTATTGATTACAGGCTATGTGCAGCCCTGTCAGAGAATCAACCAATAGAGAAATCAATCACACTGACATGTGATTCTACACATAATGACAGTGATGTATCTTTACCCAGCCCCAAACACAGGCAATGCATGGCCAGTCAGCAACAGACCATTTCAATGGAATAATCTTTAGTGAAGTTATGTTGTCATAGCAGAACCTTTTATCCTGGGATTAAGTGGACAAGGCCAGGGTCCATCAAATGTGAATTATGACCACTCTGCCAAAACACTAGATAACTTAGTTTGTGCCCATATAATTCCACAGAAATGTCTTTACATTTCTACAAAATTAGAACATTTACAAAGTTGCATATTTTGGTTAGTTCCATTTCGATTTCAGCTACAAATATGAGTTATTTTCAATTTAGTTTAACACATTTGACAATGTTAAATCCAGTTCTGCAAAGTTTTTTGCTTTTATGGCCCTACTTGGAAAAGTTTCATTTTGAGGAGTACAAAATTCACTGCATGAGCAGAGTTTAATTTGGCTGAACAGAGTTGAACAGTACATTTCAGTGCGGACAGAGAACAGTAAAAAGCCCCTAACATAATAACTGTCAGAGGGGAGGAAAAAAAATAGAGTTGCACCTTTTAGGAGTAGAACTACTTTTCAAAGGGTTCACATTAGAAAATTAAAGGGATGAGCACCTTAAAGTATTAATATGTACTTTTTATAGGGTAGATCAGGTACTTTCAGGATACTGCCCCATTAACAAACTAAAGGTTACATTTTTGCACATTTTTCCTGAGAGTGATGTGGCAGGGACAACATTCCTGCTTGTCCTCAACAGATAACTGCCCTGGTTTTGGGGTGGGTTAATCTTGAGGGCAACCAATCCAGTTTGAAATGAATGACTAATAGATTGAAGCAGAGTAGCACAATGATATGAAATGCATATGACTCTTTTTTGTCAAAGGGGGCAACTCCTGACAAAATACCTTAGAGGGTCACTTAGCCAGTGTTGTAGTCAAGACCAGTTTATTCAAGTCCAAGTCAGATCGAGAACCGAAGAGGGTCGAGTCCAAGTCAGGACAGAGTCAAACTGCTCCTGAGTTCAGTTGTCTTGGACTGGGACTAGAATGCTCTGTTCCCGAGTACAACTCTGCACTTGGCTGTTACACAGAGGTTTACCTTGATCACACACATTGCAATTATCCCACTACTAAGTTCCTGGATATCTCTAAAATTCAGCAATGTATACTAAAGTTTGCTGGTTGAGATACACCCCTTATCCTGCAGTGATTTGTATGGAAAAGAATAAGCAGAGAAGAGAACAGTTGAGCAGATCAGCCGGACTCTTTGTTTCCTAGAGGCCTCTCTCTACCTCTCCTCTCAACTCAGTTATGTAACAAGTGGAAATATAGAAGATGGAATGCTACCCTTACCCTCCCACACACTTATGGAGATAGACACACACGCTCAGAAAGAAAGTACAAGGCTGAAGGAAATCTACTGTGTATGTATCTACACAATGTGCATCAGAGAGGAAGTGACCACTGACTTGCAGGCAGGCAGCGACTGTTGAAATCATTGCTAATACAAATCATCTGCATCACTCTCTCTCATCTGTTGCCTGGAGAAAAGCAGAGAACGAGAGAGAGTACGCCAATGAAGAGAAGGAAGGAGAGAGAGCGGAGACGGCAGAAACGGGTGGGCTAATGAGAACGGTAATGCTAATACACAGACAATCAGAGTCCCCCCTCAGGCCATGGCTACATGGTAGAATCATATTAACGCTAATGTTATCTGGTATTAATGCAGAGAGCCCCCTCCCTAACCGAATGCCTGCAAGGTCACTGAGGGTAGAGGGTGGTAGCATAGTGGAAAGGAGGGGGCAAGGGTTGGCGCCTTCCCACCTCAACCACACGCAGGTAACGGGAGGGCACTAAATGCTAGTCTTCTGTAATGGTGGCTAACTCGCCCCGTTTCAGATCCCCCTGCAGAATGGGCTGCCTCTTAGAGCGCTCTATGCAAACTAGCGCCATGCAGATCCAAAATGGCGGCAGAGGAGGCCCAGATGGTGAGCTGTTTTGGTTTAGCATGGCGGCACAGCAGCACACGGCTTGCCCAGTTTTGCTGGAGCTGCACTGGCGCCAATTAGCCAGCCTGATACAGAACCGTACGCCATGTTACGCTCGCCAGCATTAGTCAAATGAGTCAGTGAGCTGCACCAAGTCAGTCAGCTGAGGGAGGAACCCGTGCATCTGCGCCTGCGCTCCAGTCTGCTTTGTATAAGACCAAATGTTTTTTTTGTTTATTTTTATTTATTTATTTTTTTGTATTTTTGTATTTTTTTATTTTTTTGTATTATTATTATTATATATATATTTTTTGAGTGGGGTTTGTTTTGAATTTGGTGTATTAGAGGGTGGGTGTGATTGTGTCTTTGTACATGAGGGAGTAAGTAAATAAACGTGTGTGGAAACAGGAGGATATTTCTGGATTTCTCTCTCTCCCTGCAGCCTGTTGAGGGGGGAGAGATTGGGGGAAAGAGGAAGGTGGTGAAGCGAGACGTCAGGGGGGGTGTTAATTTATTCAAATGAGCAGGGGAGTATAATGAGAGAGAGGGAAAGAAAGAGAGAAAGAGGAAAAGAGAGAATGGGGGGTTGGTTGTTTCGCATTGCAAATCTCTCATCTCCTGATATTCCTCTTTTATCATGTGTTTATCTTACAAGAGTCTTTCGCCATTACGGACGGCAGTGGAGCAGGAACTGGAGAGAGGAGAAAAGTCGGGAAAAGGTGAAACAGGGAATTTCTGGATATGCAGTCTGTGAACGGCATAAAGGGAGATATCACATATGTGTGTGTGTGTGTGTGTGTGTGTGTATGGCCTAGCTTATGATCTTTTACACATTTGCTAATCAAATTAATAATCAAGTATTCTTGTCACAAAATGGAATCTTTCTCTTGATCGCTCATCCTTATGAGGTCAAAACGGTATGATTTTTTTTCCTTCCTTGGACTTGGGTGTATATGTGAGAGTCAGTGTGTGATAACGATATGCAGTGCATTTGAAAGAATTAGAATATTACTGGCATCTAGTGGGAAGATCGTGCAATGCAGACTATCTATCTATCTATCTATCTATCTATCTATCTATCTATCTATCTATCTATCTATCTATCTATCTATATATCTATGTATCTATCTATCTGGAATAACCACATTAGGCATTCATATTCATTAGGCCTTGTGGGCTTCAATCAGTTACCTTTTGCAGTACGATGTTGTTTCCATGCACAGTACAAGTTTACATCCAGACCTGTGTCTAGATTGTATCTCCATTCCCACGCTACAGTCGCCCCCCTCCAAGCAGATTTATTTTCACTACAAGTTAAACCTGTATGTGCTTAAGCTCTAAGCAGGGGTGTTAAAATGCTGACCAACTGTAACAAGACCTAGTGCACTCATGTATACCCTACAGACTTGAACACTTCTCTGTGTGTGGGAACCTGCAGGTACTGACCCTCTCACCATTAAGTACACCTGTAAGCAAACCACTATTTATATCTTATTCTGCAAGCTCATTTTTGTCACGTCAACATGTCAACACCTTTTAAGGTTAAATATACTTGCTTCAACTTATTTCCATTTGCGAAATTGTAGAAAGTTAACTAATTTGTTCTTTTTAAAATGATATGCTCATTGATTGTTTATTGTATCCTTGATATTCAGCATGCTTGGCGGTATTAAAGAAATAGTCC